CAGGTCGACATGTGGTCGCTCGGCGTGGCGCTCGCGACAATGCTCGCGGGCGTGCTGCCCTTCCAGGCCCGCACTGCACCCGCCCGCCGCCATCCGCCGCCGCGCACCTCGCACCCCCCCTCCCCTCGCCAGGCGTGTTCCGCCGCCGAGCTCAAGAGGCGCGTCGTCTCGGGCCGCTTCGAGCTGCCCAGCACAGTCTCGCCCGAGGCGTGCTCGCTCGTCGGGTCGCTCCTCTGCCTGTCGCCCGAGCAGCGCGCAGACGCACGCGCGGTGCGCGCGAGCCGTTGGCTCACGGGAGTGGACGCGAGGCTGCCGCCGCCCGGCAGTGACCCGCCCGCCGAGGGCACGCCGCTCGACGGCGAGACGATCGCCCGCCTGGAGCAGCTCGGCTTGAGGCGGCGGGAGGTCGAGGCGTCTGTAAAGGAGCAGCTCTTTGACCACCCGTCCGCTTGCTACGAGATGCTGCTGCTGGCGAGGTTGCGCGCGCGCCGGGAGAGCGGTGACGCCGAGGCCGTGAGCGACTTGCGCTGTGATGTCCCCGGGTGAGGGAGTACATTGTAGGTTGTACGGCGCTCGCAAAGAGTCGGCTCTCTACGTCAATCAGACTCTACATGTACATGTTGAGAGAGAGAGGCCAAGGGCCTAGAAATCGCGCCTGCCTCTCCCTTTTCTCCCAGGAAGCTAAAAGTAAGTACTTATTCAGAGCGGGGGCCATCGCATGTTGTGTGCGAGTATATATGGGCCAAAAGCGTCGAAAATGTCCCAAAAAAGCGTGTCTCGAGTTTGTGGCAGCCCCACAGCCGGCGCGCGCTGCCAGGAAGCACTACTCGCACGTTCGGCGCACTCCCTGGCACCCAGGGAGTGCGCCTAACCGACCAGACCGAATAGGCTCGATGCCGCGCTCGCTGTGGGGCTGCCACAAACTCGCCGCCGAGCGTGCCACCGAAGGCGTCCCGTCGGAGGTGGTGGAGTTTGAGACCTGAGGCTGCGGAGGTGACGCCTGAGGTACCGGCCCGTGTACGGCGACTCAGCCGGCGACCGCCACGGGCTCAGACGAGACTTGTCGACGCGTTTTCCGGCTCAGCTTCACCGTGGTCATCGGGCGTCTGTCGACGTCAGGACCACCCATACAGCTCGCGGGTTTGAGGTCGCAAGAGCCAAGATGGTGGCGTTTGGATTTCCCAACCATCACACAAGACAGCCTGTAGGTGATGGCGGGACGGCGCAGTGTTTGTGGCACTCGGCAGTAGGCACCCGCGGCACAGCCCCGCGGTCGGCTCTCGCGGGCTGCGGAACCGGCCCCAGAAGGGGACGGTCCGGGCGAGTGAGGCAGCTCCTGCGCTAGTATGGGCACCCTCTATCACAACACTACCGGCCCTGGCCATTAGAGCTGCCAGGGATAGCGTCAGGAGCTGGAAGGAGTCAAAACCCCTCATATTTGAGACATCGTGGCCCATATACTCGCACAACGAGCCACTTTTCACACGTGTCCGAGCGCGTACCGTACTAGCTTAGGTAGCTACATATAAAGGGGAAAGGACCCTGAGTTGCACAGGGGTTGTGCGCCAGGCCCTCCTGCTCGGCTCCAGCGAGCTAGAGACAAGTGTTGTCATCAATCTTCATCAACGACAGA